ACCGGGGCTAGTGGGCTGAAGAAGAAGAGAAGGACCTGGGGGTCACATGCTGGACAACAAGTTGACCAGTTGCCAGCAACTCACTTCCACAGCAAGGACTGCCAGTAGCATCCTGGGCTGCATTAGGAAAAGCATCATGAGCAAGCGGTGGGCGGTGATCCTTCCTCTCTGATTAGCACTGCTGAGATGCATTTGGAGTGCTAGGTCCAGGTCTGGGCTCCTCAGTACAAAAGAGACATGGACATACAGGAGTACCTCCAGTAAAGGGCCACAAAGATCAAGGGACTGGAGCATTTTTCGTAAGACAAGAGGCTGAGAGAAGCTGAATGTTTAGCCTGGAGAAGAGAAGGCTTGGGAGGGATCTTATTGATTTCTATAAATACCTGATGGTAGAGAAAGAAGAGGATGGAGCCAGGCTCTTCTCACTGGTGCCCACTGATAGGACAAGAGGCAATGGGCACAAACTGAAACATATGAAATTCCACCTGAACACTGAAGAAAGGTGGGAGGTTTGCTCCCTTCCCACCTTTAACTCCTTTTTCTCTCTTTCTCTCTCTCAAATACATTGTTGAGTTACTGTTTTTCTTTTATGACATCCCTCTCTTTCCAGCTGAATCCTGCAGTTTGTCCTCTCCTAATTCTCTCTGCCACCTGCTGCCACTTCCTATGTTCATTGGTCCCACCCAAGCCCTGTCCTGGTCAGCCCCCTGTCAATGTACCTTGGAGTTGTTCTCTGTATCACTGGTCTTTGTGAATTCAGAGAGTCAGAGAATCATAGAATGGCCTGGGTAAAAAGAACTTCCTCCTTGCATCTAGTATAAATCTGCTCTCTTCCAGTTTAAATCCATTACCCCTCCTCCTGTCACTACATGCCCTTGTAAAAAGTCCCTCCCCATCTCTCCTGTAGGCCCCCTTCTGGAAGGCTGCTATAAAGTCCCCCCAGGGCCCTCTCTTGTACAGGCTGAACAACCCCAACTCTCTCAGCCTGTCCTCATAGGGGAAGTGTTCCAGCCCTCTAATCATCTTCGTGACCCTCCTCTGGACCCGTTCCAACAGCTCAACGTCCTTCTTACGTTGGGGGCCCCAGACCTGGTTGCAGTACTCCAGGTGGGGCCTCACAAAAGCGGAGCAGAGGGGGAGAATCACCTCTCTTGACCTGCCGGCCACGCTCCTCTTGAT